TTTTTTTTTTTTTTTTTTTGCAGTACTGGTGATTGAACCCAAGGCCTTCATGTTGAGTTACAGCCTTTTCATTAAATTTTTTGAGACAGGGTCTTTCCTAAATTACTTAGGCTGGTCTTGAATTTTCTATCCTCCTGTCTCAGCCTCCCAAGTGCTGGGGTTATAGACACACATTACTGTGCGAGGCTCCTGGTCCTCACTCTTTTGTCCCTGTCTCTGCTCCCATTTCTGTCTCTTGCCTTTCTGGTCCTGTGACTCCCTATCTAGCACCTCCTTATGCTGTCTTCCGCCTCCCAACTCCTAACAGTTTCTGCCCATGGAGAGAGCCAGAACCCTTGAGTTATGGGGGCTAGAATCAGGGGCTTCATTTTTAGGGACCACAGCTAAGCCTGAGTCCCCAGCACCTCCATATCAGCCCAGCCTCCAGGTTCACAGGCATGGAAAGGAGAAGTAGCGGGGTCTAGGCCCTGACTGACTGGGGAGCAACCAGCCGCAAACAGGGTGTCCCCCTCCACCTCGCCCCAGGCCCTGCGTCAGCAGAACTCCAGTGCAGGGCATTGTGCAATTTGCGGTAGGCCTGGCCCAGCTGGACGCCTGGGTCCCTATATTTTTAGCCCCGAAGGAGAAGTGAAAAGGCTGGGGCAAGGGTGAATCATCGGTCCTGGGGAAGAACACAACTCCGGGAAGCAGGCCCTGGGGAGGGGGCTTCAGGGAGGGAGTGCCCCACCAGGCTCCCCATGCTGTGCTTCCCAGAGAGCCCGGCTTGGGCTTCAGGCCTGGGCAAGTGCTGGGCTGAATGGAGGGACCAGCCCAGGCCCAGCTGTTGGTTAGGGTGTGAACGGCCCAGTGACTCAGCCTGGTTGGGGAACTGCCCCACCCAGTACCTTCAGTGCCCTGGTTCCTATGTCACCACCCAGGGGGCTCCTATCCTGGACCCCGTGTCTGCACAGAAACCCCTGAACTGTGGAGGCCTGTGTGATTCATCTGGAGCCTGAGCGCCTACACTGAGAACCTGGGAAGCGGCCAGCTATGCACGTGTATGTGTGTATGTCCGTCCCAGGAATCCCTGCTCTGCCCCTGAAGTGCCAGGACCTATGGGAGGCCTGCAGAAGCATTGGCCTAGGTGGGATGTCTTCGGGGAAGCTGTAGTCTGTCACTTTCTCTGGTTGAATCAGTTCCCTGCCCAACCGCCAGATTATCCAGGACAATCTTTCTTAACCGAAAGTCAACTAATTATGGACTTTGATCACCTCTAAAAATGCCTTCACAGCAACACAAAGATTAGTGTTTGATTGAATAACTGGGACTGTGACCCTGCCAAGTTGACACATAAAATTAATCAGCTAGTCTTTGCCACCTGGGCTCCCTCACACATGTCCTTAGTAAGACTTGTCTCCAGCTACAAAGTCCTATTTCTGTCCAGCAGGATGCAGGATCTTGCACACATCTGAAAACGCTGTCACCCACTCATCAGCAAAACTCATCAGCTTCTAGGCTGAGGACACACCACATGTACTGACATATTTGTCAGCCATGAGCACATATGCAAGAAGACAGGTACAGCTGGCCTCTTGGGGTGGTGTCAGCCTGACAGTGTCATACACAAGTACAAGCAAAACACCCATGCACCCAGGACACAAGGCCCAACCCCTTAAAACCACACTCAGGGAGACAGTGGGCAGTGCATTGAAGAATGCACATCCAACGGCCACATGGTAAAAGATGGGCCCAGGAAGCTGTATTCATTCAACAAACACCGAAAGACCCTGTACTCTTGGAACTGTACCTAGTGACAGTGTAATAAAGTAACATGTGGCAGGCAAGACAGAAGTTCCCAGAAACAACAGAGAAGTGAAATCAGAAGTGGGAAAGACATAATAACACACACAGTGGTATTTGGGAATAAATTAACAAGAAATTCAAGTGGCTTAATGGTAAAGAGTACTAGCCTAGCATGTGTGAGGCCCTGTGTTTTAATTCCTAGCACTACTAAAACACACGCGCAAAGGTTTGCATACTAAGAATTGTTAGTTTATTGAACAACATTCAAAGTTTGAGAACTTTCATCGAATAGTGGTTTCATGAGCATTCATTATGGCCTGTAACAGGTGTTGCAGACCATAGAGGTTACATGTATTATTTGTTAAACTGATGACAAGGTGATTTAAAAATGTTGGGGGCTACGGTTTAACTCAGGTGAGCATGGGTTTGCGTCTCAATACACACAAAACAATGTGGTTGTGGCTCCCCTAGAGTTCTAGTCACCCTAGAGGAGCAAGGGTGGTTGGAACCCAAAAGCTGGAGAACACCCTGGGCAACCTGGTGAGACACTATCACCAAGAAAAAGAAAAAAAGGACAAGTCAAGGAAGGTCTCACTGAGTAGATGATAGAGGAGACTTGAAAGACAAGAGTCATAGGGATACCCAGGGCAAGAGCACTCCTGAGAAAGGGAACTACAGTGCAAAGGTCCTGAGGCAGGAATGTGCTGGTGAGCTGCTCTGAAGCTTTGGCCACACCAGGGAGCAGGGATAGGAGAGGAAGCTCAGACGGGTCACAGAGGGTCTTGGTGAGGACTTGACTTCCGCTGGCCTGTCAGTCACGGGAGGTTGTTATAGCCTGGCACAAATACACTCCAGGAAAGTTATGTGTGAGATGCACTGCTGCCAACACTGTGGACAGACGCGACGCGAGCACACCACACCTGGCAGAGACTGCCCTGCTACATGGTGTCCCCAGGAACCCCATTCCATTGACAGTCCCACACTCTCAAAGGGAGCAACCAAACCTTGCGAATACCCAACCCTTGAGCAGCACTTAACTGTTCGCTCTCCCGCATCGCACTTCAATTGCTAACTCAGCCCTGTAAGTTCAGACCAAGGCGCATGCAATGAAACCACTGAGGCAAAGTCGGCCCATCTGCACCGAAATAGCAATAAATGGATCACATGTTGCTTAGACTTTGCCTGCCTCAGTGGTCTCAATCGTGCCTTGGTCTGACCTTAAAAGCCCTGCCCTCAGTGCAGTAGCATGGGCTGGGACAGATGAGAATGACTCAGACTGGGCCTCTCAGGTGTGTGCCTGCTCCTGCTCTGCCCGCAGATGCACAAGTGAGCGTGACACGGAGCAGCTTCCCATCACGAGCGCTGTCGACGTCAGGGACCAAAGTTCACCAGTTTCACTGCCCCGTAGCTGGGCCACAGAGGAACCACATCCAGACACCGCTAACGTTTGTCATGCACATTCTGTCTCAGACACCCACGGATAAAGCCCCGGATGCAGATGAAGCCTGAGCCACAGTAGTCTGGATGCTGACATTCAGCGCCAGGTCCTGCAGTTGCTCTCACTGGGTCACTCCAGACCCCACAGTATCAGAACTGCACACAGATGTGCAGCAGGTAGGTCACAGGACCCAAGAATGCTCCCTCAAAGCCAGCTGCAGCAGCGTTGAGGGGCCTCCCAATGTCGAGCGGTTGTAGTGCACGTGATGGAGCCAAACAGGTGGCGCCAAACAGGTGGCTTCACGTATTACAAAGCACAGCCTTGTCCCATGGGATGGCAGGCACATGGCCCTCACACAGAAAGCTAAACACCGGTACACGAAGCGTTCACACTTGTCCAGCTGCACGCTCAGGGCCAGGGACCCTTCCTCCAGACGCAGGGAGCACACTATTCGCACAAGGTGTCCACAGTGGCCCGAGTGTCACACACACTGAACACCCAGCCTGCCCCTCAGCCACACCCGCGTCGCCCGGGGGATCTCGCCAGGCGCGCACACGCCGGGCACACGTGCCATGAGTACACGCGCGCTCGCAGCGGCTCTCACACCCCCGCATTTCCCGTCCCCGCTTGTTTTTCTGGAAACTCTGCTCTCGTTCTCCTCCCCCCAGGCCGGAAGCGCTCGTGGTATTTTTAGCCTCTCCGGTTTCCGCCCCTTTCCCT